CATGCAGGTTCTCTAGCACTGAGCCACCTGGGAAGCCCATGATTTCAGGAGATGCACTTAATTAAGAAAAAAAAATTATCATGCACGTCTTGTTCTCTGCCTCAAGTCCTAGCCCATGTCTCACACTAGCCATCTCTGTGGCAGCCAGATTTACAAAGGGTGACTTGATGGCACCTCAGCTCCACTTCGCTGGATAGCTCTCGATTTCTGGAATGTTCTGAGGGTCTTCTCTGAGGCTGAAGCACGGGTGCTCACCCTGCACAGGGCCTTGCAGTGAGTGTGGGGCGTTGACTCTTTGCAGGGAAGCTTGAGCTGGGTGGTGGGGGCTGCTCGACAAGTAATCCCCTGTCCTCCGCCTGAGGGCAAACTCGAGGCGCAGCCTACAGCTCGACCTGCTCCCTTCAGCGTCCCCTCCCCAGATGCCCACTCCCACCCCAGCCCTCTTCTCAGTCTCAGCTTCCTGAGGGGTGGGGGCCCAGGCTAAGGCAACATCCTAAGTGACTTTAAAAAGATCTATTAAAAAACATGTTAAGTGTAAGTAACATGTATAGAAAGGCTAAAGCAGAGACATCACTTTGCCAACAAAGGTCTGTCTCGTCAAAGCTATGGTTTTTCCAGTAGTCATGTGTGGATGTGAGAGTTGGACCATAAAGAAAGCTAAGCACCAAAGAATTGATGTTTTCAAACTTTGGTGCTGGAGAAGAAGACTCTTGAGAGTCCCTTGGACTGCAAGGAGATCCAACCAGTCAGTCCTAAAGGAAATCAGTCCTGAATACTCATTGGAAGGACTGATGCTGAAGCTCCAATACTTTGGCCACCTGATGCAAAGAGCCGACTCAATGGAAAAGACCCCGATGCTGGGAAAGATGGAGGGCAAGAGGGGAAGAGGGTGACAGAGGATGAGATGATTGGATGACATCACTGACTCAGTGGGCCTGAGTTTGAGCAAACTCCGGGAGATGGTGAAGGACAGGGAAGCCTGGCGTGCTGCAGCCCATGGGGTCGCAGTAAGACATGACTTAGCTACTGAATGACAACAAGGGGGATAATCACCAACCACACAGGTTTGTCAGAGCTTTACACTTTGCTGCATTTGCTTCTGTTTTTCTAACTTAAAGAAAGAAGAATGAAGCTCTTAAAGCTGTGCGTGCTCCTCTGTGACCCTATTCTCTTTCCCCCTCACTGAGAGTGACTACTATCCTTCAGTTGACTATTATCAGCAATACAGAGTAATTTAAAGTATTTTAAACTTGATATAAATGATACTGTAATAACCTCCTGCCATGTGCTGTTCGCTCAGCCTTGTTAATGTGAGACTTAGCCTGCAGTGAGGTCTGGAGTTCTTAATTCATCTTTGCTTATATATGTATATCTATCTATCTATCTATCTATCTATATATATACATGCTTCCGGTGTATGACTATTACAGATTTAGTTACTATTACTTTACATTCATGGGTCTGCTTCTGGGTTGTTTTTTCCTTCTCTGATGTGTTTATCACTCCGCCACTACTGTGGGCCTTCATTATTACAGCTTTATAGCAATTCTTGATATCTGGTTGGTCAAATCCCTTCCAAAGACCTTTCTCGTTATTGTTTCACATGTTCTTGGCCTTTGATCTTATATATGAATTTTAGAATTAGTGTATCAAGTTTGACCAAAACCAGAATTCTGTTGAGATTTTTTTTATTGAGTTACATTAAATTTATATAAACCAGGAAAGAATTGCATGCGTGCTAAGTTGCTTCAGTCGTGTCTGATTCTTTGTGACCCTGTGAACTGTAGCCTGCCAGTCTGTGCCATCCCTGGGATTTTCCAGGCAAGAGTATTGGAGTGGAAAAGAAATGAGTCATTTAAAAATACCAAGTTTTCCTATCCTTGAACATAAAACATCTCTGTATTTATTCATCACCTTTAATATCATTCCATAAAAGTTTAGAATTTTTTCCATAAATGTCTTGTATACATTTTGTTAGATTTATTCCTAGGTGCATTGCTATTGTAGATATATTTTTTAAAAATTATTATTCTAGCATTGTTTTTAGTTGATATATAGGAATGTTGTTGTTATTTTGTGTGTGGATGTATGTCTTAACTCTGTATTCAGCAACCTTTTTGAACCCATTTTTCCTTATTTTACGAAATATGATTTATATATTTTTTTACTTTTAATTCACCTTATCTTTCCTGGCTCACTCCCCTCACAAGAATTTGGGGTCCGTGGAAGCAGAGACCCTGTTTCTCTTGTGTATTTCCATATCCCAAGTGCTTAGAACAGTACCTGGCACACGACAGGGACTCAGTAGATATTTATATGAATTAAAAAATAAAACTGTCCTGATTGTGGACAGAGTAAATGGTGCATCCTCATCTATAGGCGTGGCCTCACACACGTCGTTCTTTGTGTGGACCATGCTGTTCCTCTCCACCTGGCAGCCTCATCTGGCCCCCTGACTGCACTCCAGGTTCCTCTCAGCGGCTGGGACTTTGCTGCCAGCCCTGACCAAGCAGATGTATCTAAAGCTTTGCTGTGATCTCAGTTCTTCCAGGTAGCTTTCCTGGGCTTCCCTGCACTCCAAAAAGATGGATCCAGAAAAACAAACAGCAAACAAACAAAAATAAAACCAAAAAGCACACAAGAATTAAATGTGAATTATATGCTCAAGCCCCAGGTTAAAGCTTAAGAGAATTATCCAAAGTGATATAGAAAGACACATAGGGTAAGTGAAATGATGGTGGCACATGGTACTGCAGCAGTTTGGGAAAGGGAATTAATTTATGAATAAAAGATAGAAAGCGAAGATCCACCAACATCTCATGCTGCCAGCAGTTAGGAGGAACAGAAACCCTGGTTAAAGCTGCCTCCGCAATCAGACAGTGAGTCAGAAAAAAATAGAAGCCAAAAAAGTATATTCCAACATCCATCTTTTCTGTGCAGTTATATCTAACACCTATATTCCACAAGTGAAAACAACACCAATTTGAGTCTTGTCTTTTCTTCTTAAAAAAAATCACTTCAGTTTTCCACCTCTGATAAATGTTTTATGAATTCCCCTTCCTGATGAAAGATTTTGCTGTGATTAAAGATTTCATGAAGTTATGACAAGGGTGGAATAGGTCTTCATTCTCGAAAGCTCATTTTCCTGTGGGCTGAGTGAAGAGCCCTCTCGTAGGCAGCTGTCAGAGCTCGTAAATGTTTTTCCAAGTGCTGCACCTCTGGGAGGACACCCCCACCCACAGAACCTACAACCAACTGCAGACACGTTGGGTGACATCTCCCGGTGCACGGCCAGACGATCCAGCTGCTGCCGCCCTTCCTCCCGTGAGAGTAGGTGCATGCAGTAGGTGCGTGTTTTGAAAATGTGGTATTTCACACGTGCCAGGTGGCCTTTGGGTGATGCCAGTCTCTGTGTGTATGCATGTATGTGTGCGCACGCGCGCGCGTGTGTGTGTGTGTGTGTGAACCCCTGGGCAAGTCATGGCGCCCTCTCCACCTCAGTTCCCTTCTCTGGGAAGGACGGAGGTCACAGTCTGGACTGGAACACGCGTCTTTGTCCCCTGTGAGCTCTGCAGGATTTCCAGCTCCAGGTGTGGACGGTCTCAGCCATCCGCCAGCATCTTTCGCTGCCTCCTGAGCCGCCCTCTCCTCTGCCCTCAGTGAGTCTCGGGAGGACGACCTCCCCGGGCTCTTGTATGAATTAACCACGTGTGGGCAGCCAGGCACGTGTGGGTGTGCGTCCCCTCTCCTCCTCGCTTAACCAGCAGCGAAACCTTACATCACCACACTTGGAGAAGCACCTCTGAGAGTTCCGACGCCCTTTGGAAGGTCACGTTTTGAAGAAACGCTCAGCTGAAAATGACCCAGAGCACAGATGCTTTTCTGAGTCTTCTCTTTTTTTCTTTCTATGAAAATCTAGCTACCCTTTTCCTCCTAGAGGGAGAATGGCTGGCTACCCTGTCTGCTCCTGTCTTGGGCCCGGGTATCCCGGTTTCCACGAGCGGATGCTTCTCGATCAGTTGTCACGCGCCAGCTGTGACACGTGGCGTTTGAGATGCCATGTTAGTTTTAGGCAAGCATTCGACTGTGATGGGGACCTGACAAATGGAAGCCAGCACAAGCCTCAGCATGCGTGGCTGAACTTCTCTTTTACGCATGTAGCTAGTGAGCATGTACTATCATTTCCCAGACCCCCCAGGCCCCCCCAGCCCCCCACACCATGGTGATTGTCCCCATCGCCCCCGAAAGCCCTGAGCTTTCTGGGTCCTGCTGCTACTTAGTGGGGAGGAAGGCAGTCGGGAGACGGAAGGGAGACATAGTCCCTTCGAGGGCTCGTCATCTTATTTGGGGTGGGAGGTCTCTGGAAACTGATTACTTGGTGGACCTTCGTCCAGTGGCCACCCCCCTCGGGGCCTGGGGCGGTGGGCACCTGGTTTCTGCAGCTTTACCATCTGCAGTAGTGAAAGCAGGAAGATGAGGCTTCAGGTGGGTGGTGAGTGACCTCATGGTGTTGCCCACAGTTCTGGAGGGACTGAGGGGCAGTCTCCATGAGGAATCTCGGTGAACGTGCGTGCAGCGTGGACACGACTCTCTGTGTACCCCTGATCAGCACCCAGCCTGGCGCCCACAGAAATCCCCGACCATAGTGCTGTGGTCATGTATTGAACAACACCATATGCCGAGTGCTTTCCTGCTGAGTCAGGCCATGTGTGAGGCTTGGAGAACTCAAGGGCCCTTCCCAAGGTCACCCGTGTAAAGGGCGCAGGTGGGTTATAAGTATGTGCCCCAGGATTAAGGAGGCCTCCTGTGCAAAGCCACTGTGTAGGAGTCACAGTCGGTTCAGGATGAGTCTTCTCCATAAGCCTTTGTGTCTGGGGGGCATGACGCTTTGATGAACCGCACCTCTGACGTGCCCAGGACCGTCAGACCTTCGGGGAGGGGAGGCAGGGTCACTCTCCTCGTTGTCGGAAGATGCTGACAGGCGCTGTCTTCTGCCGCAGCACCCGGCAGAGCCACCTGCTCTTGGACGTCTTCAACTCCACGGAGCACGAGCTGAGTGTCCGCGCCCGGAGCGACGAGGAGCTCGTCCTGCACGCAGGCGAGTGCCAGCGGTAAGTGTCCCCGCGGGCCCCTGGCCCTGCTGTCGCCACCCACGGGGGGCCGGGCCACTGGGGGCTGGGCAGTCAGGCCCCCCTCTCAGAGACGCTGTGGCCCTTATTCAGGCTCAGTGCAAGTGATGGGAGTGGTCTTCACACCTATGGGAGAGCCGGCCGATGTCCGTCAAGCACCATGCCTAAGGACACCCAAACCTCTGGGCGAGACCTTTCACTTTCAAATCCGTAGGAAAGCTGTGTTGGGGCACTGGGTATCTATCTGAGGGGCGTATATCAGCATCAGTGGGAAGATCCTCGGAGGAGTTAATGCTGCAGCAGCCAAGCCAGACTCAGGCCTTTGAGAGAGGGGCACCATCACTCAAGCTCAGCCCACGGAGGCCAGTTTCTTACAAAAGTAAACGTACACATACTCCACCCAGCTATCCCAATGCTAGTTGTTCAAGTAAAGTTGGAAAAAAAATGTTTACAAAAGACCTGTAAAGAACATCCCAAGTCAAAAGCTAGAAAGAGCTTGGGTGTCCATCATGGGAGCGGAACTACCCAATGGTGGCATTTCCCTAGTGGAATATTACTCAGCAGGCAAAACTAGCAAACTCCTAAAACAGCACCGTGGGTGGGGTCAGGAAGCTCCCGCCGAGTACAGGTGCCTGACCCAGCATGGTTCCAGGCATCTGAGACCCCAGGACCAGCAAGACTCTGCTGAGACGATGCTAAAAGCAGAGCATTGCTTCCGGAGAGGACGGGTGGGCTTTGACCAGGAAGGGGCACAGAGCGTGTTCCACGTGATGGTCATGTTGTGTGACTCAATATTTGGGTGTGGGTTACACAGGTGTTTTGCCATTGTTAAGATTTAGCCAATGTGCCCTTAAGATTTGTGCATCCCACCGTTAAGTCGATTTTGTATCAAAAGGAAAACTGTCAGCACACATGAAACTCTGCCTCTTGGAGGACTTGGGGGTGGTGTCTTGTGATAGCTGCGCTAGTCTCGGGAATGCCTAAAAAGTTAGATTCCTGGCAGGAGGCTGGGAAGGCGGATGGAGTGAGCTGATCAAACAGAGTAAAGTGTTAGTTTCGGGATATTTCATACAATGGGTGGAAAATGTTCTCTGAGGAATTCTTTCCACTCATAAGAAGATACTGGGAAGCAGTGAACAAATGGAGAGCAGCGAGCCTGACTCCCTCCGCCACCTCTCTTCCTCTTCCTCCTCTGGGCATCTCTGTGTCTCAGGACGTGGCATCATCACTCCGTGCTGCACCAGTGCGTCATCGCGTTTGTTTGCGGCCGCAGTAAGCACTGTTTCCAGGGTGTTTGCTCAACGGCGTACGTGGCTGCGCGCCATGTGTCTCTGTGTCCTTCAGTCACTCTCAGTCAGCGCGATGCTTTGGAGCTGGATGTGGTCAGGTTTCGGCCTCCGACGGCGCCTTGTGCCTGGCTCCCGCGTGCGCCCACTCACCCATCTCTTGCTGATCCACACGAGGTCGCTCCCGGGGTGCGGCCGTCTAACGCCCCCATCAGTGGTGACCCAGGAGTGCCTGGTCATGCTCGCCGTCCGGGGCTGGTAGTCGGGAGGGCTGTACGGCCTAACCCGCGAGAGGAAGGACCCACCCCGCCCGACAGCTCCTTGTTCTTGAGGGTTCTCGGGGTGTGGCTGCGTGCGGGGACCAGGTGCTGCCCTGTGGAGGCCGTGGCAGTGGCGTTGAATGCTCTGGGTCTGGGGCGTAAGCACAGCTCTTGCCTGGGGCGCTGCCCCATCCTTGGGGTCAAGGCCACCAGCAGCCCCCTGGGCCACGTGCTGGTCTCCAAGTTGGGCAGGAGACCATCTGCCTTGTCTAGGTGTTTAGATGCAACCTGAGATCCCAGAGGGCACCATTCAGGTCGCCTTATGGCACCAATAATAAAACCCGCTTTTAAAAAATGTACAGATCGCCGAGCCTGTTCTAAGGTTGACTCACTCCTGGCGGTGCTGGAAGTCTCAGCAATGTTAACGAGCCCATTCACAAACCAGCACAGTTCGTTTTTGTGCTTCTGGCTTCTTCCTTGTTAAGCTTTGTGCCTAAGTCCTCATTTCTCAGTCCTCCTAACTCACACATTCTTTATTCATTCATAAAATATTCATTCAATAAATATTGATGCTTCCAGAACATGCTCCATGGAGCCTGCGTCAGGATGAGTAAGTCCGGACCCTCCCTGGCCAGGGAGTGATGATCACGTGGCACGGGTTTGGTGGGGGGTGGCGGGGGAGTACAGCCAAGGTCACGATGCCCCATCTGTCTGGGCAGTCAGCTTGGTGCTGCTCCCCCGGCCCCACCAGCCCATGGGCGTCCTGTGTTTGCGAGACGCAGGAGTCCCACCTCTAGACCTCTCCAGCCTTCCTGGTTCTGACATGTGCTCTGTCTCCGTGGAGGGGTCCTGGGCCATTGGTCTGATGGAGCTGTGGTGGGTGGACCTTGCCCGGCAGCCGTGGGACGTCCCGAGACTGGGCTGTGGTCCTCGTCCCGCCAGGGTGTGTCTCCGCGGGGCCCCCTACTCCCCCCATCCCCTGGAGCCCTGAGCTCAACCCCCGCCAGGCTCTTCCCGCGCTATGCAGAGCCAGCCACCGCACCTCAGCCTCCCCGACACTGATGTGGGCCGCCCTTGGACAGGCTTGGCCACCCTGGGGTGGGCCGCCCTGCAGTGGAGCAGTCCTCAGACTCTGGTGTGATCGTCTAGCGTGGCACAGCCTCCCCTTTAGCGAAAAGCTGTCACTGAAAGCTGTGTAGCTGTGATTCTGCCCTTGGTGGAGCCCTGGCATCCTGGGGCACCAGGCATTGCACACGGGAGGGACCAGCTCCAGTTGGGCTGTGGGGTGCCTGCGTCTCTCCCCCACTCCTTCCGGGTAGGAAGGTGTGCCCAGGATAAGAGTGATGCATCCTCTGGAGTGCAGAGTCTCAGTATCTGAGCCCCGGGTGTTAGGAACGGTTTCAGCAATCTGTCCTCCCTAGCACCCTCGCACGAGAACGTCTATCCATGGGTTACAGACAGGCAGACTGAGCCAGATCGGAGGCCCTTGGTGGGGACTCGGGTCTGCCTGACCCTGTAGCTGAGCGTTAGGATGGCTGCAGCAGTGGGGGAGCGGGTTTTGTCCCTGTCTCCTCCTCCTCTCTGTGCAGCCTTAGGCAAGCCGCGAGCAGCACTAATCCACTGTCACCCATCCAGGCCGGGCGGAGGGGCAGCAGAGGGGCCGGCTGGGCTCCAGCTTCCAGGGTGTTCAGGGATTCAAGCGTTTGCTGAGTGTCCGGTGAGAGGCATGAGGGACTGCCTCATAGGCTGAATATTCGAGCTTCCAAACTGGAAATAACACTCTTAATCCCCATATTTCTTAGAGAGATCTCTTTTCATCTTGTAATTTGAAAGCATCTCAGCAAACGGACGGAGCAAGTGCCTTTCACCTCCCATCTCTTCCTGTCACAGGCCCTTTGGGCGTGAGTGACTCGTCCCCGTCTCTGTGGCCTGGCTGACACATTAATTCTATAATTAAGGGCCGTTGGCTCAGCTCACTTCCGCCTGACACGATTTGTGATGCTTGGTCTCCCCCGATGACATTTCCTGGGGTTGCACGCCATCGGTCATGACACTGAGAGTGTCCTTGGGACTTGAAGCTAGGTAGGTGCCTGTAGTAATGTTCACTTTTACCTGAGGGGTGTTGGAAAGAGGATCCCATTTTCACAGGCACTCTCGCCTTTAGTCCTCATCCTCAGGGTATGGGCACTGTGCCCGTCTTTGCCTCCTGCGAGCGAGGTTGAGGCCATGCTGTTGGTGGAAGTTGGAGCCCAGGGCTGCCCTGTGGCCCCTACACCTCTCCTCGGGAGTCACCTACTGCTCTTGAGGCTGTGTCCCCAGGCCTGGGTGTCCCTCCGCCTCCAGTTTCAAAAGATGGCCAGAAACCGTAGAACGCTTTCTGAGTGAAACATCGTAAACTTCCTTAAGAAAATACAGTGTCCCCAGCAGCAAATTTACTGGAAAAATTAAGATATGATAATTATTGTGTTTTTGCTTAATTATCAAACCGTTAAAATTAAATTTCACGAAGACCCTTATTTACTCATAAATCTATTTACCATGGCAGATGTTGCCTTGTCCCGCCCTCCCTCGCAGGGAACCCCCACCTGCTCTGTGGCCCGGCATTGTCTGGTCCGGGTGTCGCCTCCCTGGGGGCCCCACTGGGTCTCTGGGAATAGATGAGCCCGTCACGTGTCCGGACAGCACACACGTGGGTCCTAGAGCGGCTTTCCTGCCAAAGGGGCGGAAGAAGCCCAGCAGGGTCCCCTCGGCCACTTCAGTGATGGAGCTGCAGGGAAGGGGCTTGTCCTTATTCTTCCTTTTACTGGGAATCTTTCCTGTGGACACTTCAAACACATGCAGAAGGTGCCCATAAGAGGACTTCTCACCCAGCTTCTACCCCTAGTGATTCATGGCCAGTCTTTTCCATCTCTCCCTCACCAGCTTCCCCATGTCCTTGTGTTATTTTGAAGATTCAAGGCGACCTCTTATTTCATCTGTAAACATTTTAATCGTCAACATGGGAGCCTTGTTAAAAATCTAACTGCAGTGCCGTACCTTGTTTTAAAGCGAACAGCTCCTTCATACGAGTGTATACATTTCCAGTGACCTTGGTGGTGTTTGTTTTTTAAACACTGTTTGCAATCGGAACTCACGAGGTCGATTAGCATCCTGTCCGCTTTGAATCTGTAGGTTCCCTGTACATCTCTCTCACAACTGTCCATGGACCACATCAGGGCCCCCAGTGGGGACTTGGCCAGTTGGGTGCCTCTGGTGGTAGTGACCTTGCTATTGTGACTGACTTCATTTTCTTTATTCCTCATTAAATCGGTAGTAAGCTCTAGAGGCTTCGTCATATTCCGTGATTTTTTTTTCTTTTGCAAAGAATCTCCATCAGAAGGCATTGGTGTCTGGCTTATCTGCTTTCTGTGATGGAATCATTGTTATTAGATCTTTTCCTC